GTAGAGCGAAGACCTCCCTCGTGGAAAACAAGCGTATTAATAAACTTGTAGGTGTGTGAACTGGGCACAGAGCGAAGCTGCAGGCGAGCACGTCTGATAGGATGTGGTTCCAAAACCACCGAGACGAGGCTGTCAGGGCTCGGCAGCAAGGGGCTACAGGCAGCGAGAAGTGTGACGCTGACATTTAAGAGAGACGAAGAGGACACACAGCTGGTTAACACAGCGGTTGAGATTACTCACCGCCTGCACATTTAAAATAAGTTGCGTTAACACCCTTCGCCTGGACACTGGCTTCATTGTCGTACACATTCATCAAAAGCGCGTTGACTTTTTGACGTCTAATCTGCTATTAAAAGCTTCCAACTTCAATTTGGATGTATTTAAGCTCATATCACGCTGTAATTACACACAAGTGAGCTCCACTCATGTCACTGTGGAGCTGGAGATGAATGAGGTGTGTCGGTGTTTGTTTGTGGAGTTATTCTGCTGTATGATGAACTTCAGTGTTTAATGTAAAGCTGCTGTGAATCAACAAAAACTGATTGAGACAGAAAGGTCGTTTGTGTGTGTCTGAGCACAACGTGACAGGACTTTTTTGTGGAGGAAGGCAGGAAGCTTGGTATTAGTCATTTGAAGATGCTGTCTGGCAAGAAGCAACTGGTAGAACTTGTAAAACCAAAAGCAAAGATGGCAAGTGTATATTGGCAATGATAGACAGAGCGGATGCTGTTACAATATATTGTGTTCATTTAATATATGGAGCAGCATCACTTACTCAACCTGAAGCTCCTCTTGGCTGGATCTCTAGTGCCATAAATAAGCTGACAGCTTTAGTGTGGTTTCTTCTCCTTACCTGAGCGAGCTCCCCGGAGCCTGAACAACACTCTGGAGCGAAATCCTGAGGTGTCGCTGTGAGAGCGGAGCCTGGGGAGAGCCCACAGCTGAGGGAAAGGCCTCATCTCCGGGTGGGTGTCCCCCTCCTCGTCCATGGTCGCCTGGAGAGGAGCTGCAGCAGGTTCACAGTGACGAGAAGGCAAGAAAGTTCACATGAAGCTCATCAGAGCAGCCCGCCGGTCCCTCCTCCTCCTCCTCCTCCACTGTGAAACTCTTCTTCTGCAGCACACCGCATGTGTTCCTGTGTTTGTCGACGCCCAGCGCCGCTGAAAGACAGGTTGAAATGTGATCTGACAAAGACTGTGACAGGCAGTGACAGCAGCATGTCCATTATGTGGCTGACTGCTAAACCTGTTTGTAGAATTTCTAAGAATATAAAGCGTAAGAGTTGATACACGCATAGAAACAGTCTGATTAGTGCTGCCTGAAGCTTCATCTGTGTGTCTGATTTAGCCTCCACTGTGTATGATTTTGCAGACAACTTCTGCTTTAAACATATTCTAGGCCTCTGATCAGTGGTACTTTGTGCAGATGTTTTATCTTGAGGAAGTCACAGCATCTAGAGCGGTTTCCTGACTTATCTTAGTGCTGGATGTATTTATTCTAAGACTTCCATGAAAACACCACACATGAAAACATGCAGAGGAACCACAATCACATGAAATAAAGTCTGTATACGTGTGTTTAGAATGTGTGTGGAAGAGGCAGCCTTCACAGAGGGATAAAGTTATTCCATGTGTAGGTAGAATAAGCTGCCTCTTGAAGAAGGAGTTCCTTTGTTGGCTGGATTGCCAAATAAAAAAAGTTACGCAATTTCAAAATTTCAATGTAGCATCATGGAAACTCGACCAGGCCTGAGTGGCTGCAGCTTTTAAACATTAGATGTCGCTAAATTACCATCCTGGCATGAAATGTCTGCTTCCCATCTGATGTTGACACCAGGTTGACACCCAGTGCTCCTTTCATACTTTACACCTAGAGGGGATAAAAGAGAAGAGATCTCACTCTGATCTGCTTTTACAGGACAATTTATAAAACAGTTTAAATTTAAAATGGATCAGATGATGATTACTATGAAGCAGATGTTGTCATCCAGAGCTATTAAATATATATACATCAGGCTAGTTGATCATGTGCTTCTTGCCACACTGAATACGATGAGGTTTATTGCCTGTGGTCTCCATATATGACAATATGACTCAGCCTGTAGCGCCCTATCTGACTAACTGTTTACCAAAGTGCTGTACTTGTACAGTTTTGAGGTATTTGCACGCTACTTGAATATTGTCACCGCTATTACCACTTCCTCCTCTCCATGCCATTTCAGAAGAAAATATAGCATTTTATACTCCACTACATTTAATTGACAGCTTTAGTAACAAGTTACTTTTAAGGTGAAGTTTTCAAACCTGCACTATCTGACTTCTGTTTGCCAAAGTGAAATCCCACCTGCCTGGTTGTATGATAAGTCTACAGTGGTTAAGATTTTAAGCTAGCTGGCTAGTGCTACTGCGAGCTAAGGCAGCGTAACATTATTAGCTTACGGTAAGATGGCTCAATTATTGTCAATTAACAAAAAAAAACTAATAGGTCTAGTACAAAAGCTATACCTTTCTATAACCTTGTTTAAATTCCTGATATAAAAATAATTTTAAATCACCAAGAATGTTTTGCTTACAATAGTGAAAATGTCAAGCTAGCTAGTCAGCGCTACCAGCCAATACAGGGTAACATCATTAGCTTAACATAAGCTTAAGGTTTAATTAGTGAAAATTAATTGAAAACAGATGGGACAAAAGTTCTAACTTTACTATAACTTTAGCAAAATTGATATTTAAATTCCTGACATAAAAAATTTGAAATTACCAGATTACCAGGAATGATAAGGTGACAGTAGTGAGGATTTTAAGCTAGCTAGGTAGTGCTGTCGCAAGCTAATATAGCACAACATTATTAGCAAGTCAACTAATTAAACTTTTAGACGATTGTATTGTATTATTTATTTATATTGCTGGTTAGGTTATTATGGTGTTATGGTACTAGAGGAGAGTCCATAATTTATCTAAAGTTTTAAAATATTGATGTCTGTTGAAGGGCCTCGATTGAGCATCTTCTCTCAAAAGTCCTACATTTAGGCTTTCACATATCCCAAGTACAGTGTTGCAGTATAATCTATCTATCTATCTATCTATCTATCTATCTATCTATCTATCTATCTATCTATCTATCTATCTATCTATCTATAATCGACCGCCGTTTTCGCGCTCAGAGTGATCATCTGGCTGATAGAGGATCTGCGGTGCGCCGAGCAGCAGCAGCGGCGGCAGCAGTCGGAGCTGTGTGTCCTGGATCAGAGGGGGAGATGGGCTGAGGCACCGAGCGCAGACCCAACAACACCGACACCGACGGCGGCCGAGGGAAAGCAGCTACAGGAGGGAAGACTCGGGTGAGCTGACCCGTGGCGTTTAACCGCATTAAATAAGTAACTCAGGCGGCTAACTTCGCCGTTTAGTGCAGTCCAAGTTGCCTGTTAATATTTTACGAAGCTGGCTAACGGGAGGCGCCGCTGTTAGCCGGGTTCGGTTAACGTGCGGGACTCAACTTGTTTGCGGGGACGGTTACGTATCAGCTGCTCGTTTGTAATAACGACACAGGTACGACCGCTCTAGGTGGTGAATTAATGCGATGTTTGGCGTTTTTGCGAATCGTTTCACAAGTTTGCGGCGTGCTAACGGCGAGCTAACCTGAGCCGTGTCTCCCAGTGAAGTTGAGGCCACAGCTGCTGCTGCTGATGCTGCTGCTGCTGCTAACACACTAATGTTGTGGTTGTCTGTTCATGGCAGCTAACTTTAGCCGTTTGTGATTTTTAATGTGTTTTTTTTTTCTCGGTTTGCGTTACGGAAGCTGGCTGCCTTCAGTCGTTTGTTTTAGAGCCTCAGGACTCAGTTAGTAATCCAATACCTGGAGTGCATCTTCAGTTTTGTGTGCTCTGCAAATAGAGAGAGCCACACTAGCTCACTGCTGTGGGAGACACCACTCTGTCCCACCGACTGAACGCAAAGGCCGAAGCCTGTCAAACCTGCTGGCCTGATGTGCTCCATTCACAGCCAGCCTCACGCCACAAATGACTCTTTGCAGCTGAACTGGAATGGCCTGTCCCACCTTTGACCTGCACAAGTCCCAGCCCTTTCCGTGCAGCGCCTCCAGTAGCTTGTACAGCTCAGGGTCTGATCTGATGTTTCTGAGAACCAAACGCACACTGACTGACTGCTTCACTCCTGTTGGTGTCCCTCTGTGTGTGTGGTGAGCATGGACAGGGTTTAAAACAGCACCAGCTTTATGTTCTGGAGCAGTGATCATCAAAACTAGGAGTCCAGAGATATGCTTCCCCCCACAGGGCCAATATTATAACTGATCAAGGAGATCAATAATCAATATGTCAACTTGATGTACATTTGCTGCACATATGATGTCGTCAGAATTCAGAATAACACAAACTCCAACACAAACCTTTGTTGAAATGCCTTTCATTGTTAATGTTAATCTTTTCACAAAGATCATTGGATCATAGAATTATTCTAACAGTGTTCAGTTAAAAAGAGAACTTTGCAGCATTTATCCTTCAGGGTTTATTGATTATTAATTGTGACGTGTTGTGGGCGGGACGGCGCTCAACACTGAGGAGTGACTACAGACAGCCAGAGTACTACAACTTATAATTATTTATTTGGAAATCAGTTTTAAAGCGGTATAAAAATTCAACATAATAAATACAAAATTGAAAATGTAATTTGATTACTGACCAAACCAATGATCGGTCCACCCTTTATGAAAACAGAGTAGAACCCACAGACTCCTAAGGCGAGTGTCGAACCTACTTCACATGTAATGAACAAGTGGACCCCAGCTGGACCGTAATAGCAGCATCTAGACGTCTGCACAGGAGTGTAATCAAGGTTTAACTCCTGATTGATGCCTTGCTCAAGACCTTCCAGCAAACGTACAACAGAGGGAGTTTACCTGAGGAGCCTTTGACCTGGTACAGAGACAACTATTATAAAAATAGCCTTATCTTCAAGTTCAACCTTTAAACCTGCTTTCCTTTGCTGTCCTCTGGTTCGCGCTTCACCTCCCTTTGTTTAAAACGTCGGTTTTGTCAGTGTGTACCTCTGAAACTTTGCTCTGTGAGCCCAGTATCCCGGCAATGATCTATTTTCTGAAATATCCTGCTGATGTGTTTGACCATGTAAACCTCATATCCTGGCGACAGAAACCCAAACATGCCAGCAGGAGTGCTCAAACAGACACCGGGATGCTGCGTCATATAAACACCGTATGGGTTCTGATCACTGTCTGACATGTGTGCCGGGCTTTCTCAGAACAATACATGTGTACGGTTACAGGTAATTAGTAGAAAATGAAAAGATCGCACATTTTGTGATGATATAGTTCAGACGGGTAATTTGATGAGATACTATTGTCAGATAAGATTGTTGTGTAAATTCTGTTATCAGTTCAGTTCTTCATTACGATGAGAACAAACCCAGCAGGGCGGTGCAAGTCATCATGTCTGTCAACAGACTGTCCTTAACTTCTGAGGTTCCAGAAGAATCCAGTTAACTCACTGATGACAGCGTTCGTATTTGGAGAAGTCTGGCCTGCAGATCGTGGGTTCCACATTGTTATCAAATCCAGAATATGATCAGAACTGGGACTCATTTAAACTTCCCATGTGGACATTTTCAGAGGTTAGAAGGAGCGTTAAGTGAATTAGACTTGGATAGATGCTCGGGTCAACTATATTTTCCCAGCAAAATGAACTAACTGCATATATAATGGTGTCTGGAACAACAGCAGCAGCATTATTAGTCATTTGGAGTCACTTTCCTGCCCAGTGTCTAATATTTACTCCTGTTTAGCTCTGTTTATTGTCTCCTTAGAAAAATATCAGACACCTAAGCTCATAAGAGTTTTCCTATATTCAACAGCTAGTTTCTAACTGTGTCTGAGCAGAAAACAACTGCCGACTGTCTCCAAACATGACAGAAAATGAGCTAAACTGTAAAGCTGTGGGCTGGACACTAAACAATGAGCTGAAAGCCCAAGAAGCTGGAACAATGTGCAGCAGTCTCTTAATGTGTTCCACTACAAAAAATATGCAAATGAGTCTGTACTAAACAAGCGGGTAAGATGACCTTTATTCAAACATGACTGCTCCTACAGTGTGGGTTTTGCACTTGGCCATGTTATGATTTGGATACTCCTTCGATTAGTTGTTGAGCTTCACTTGCAGAAGATCTGAAGAACCCTCATTACGGTTGCTTTAAATGTCCCTCCTGATACATATTTGGTCACAAAATTTTCATAAGTTTAATATCAGAGAACAAATTTGCGTCAGATGTTCAAAACTCTCAAACATCAGTGTCGGTAGCAGCCTCAACAATCCAGTGCGAGTAGTTGCTGTAGTTAAATGTTTTCAAGAACTTTCAAAGTAGGCCACCATTTTGCAGGCTGCCTTGCTCAGCTTGTTGCATTATCTGCCGAGATCTGCTCTGCATCCCCGAAATGCACGAGCACGCTTGCAGCTGAACTTGCGCACAGTACCTCATTTTACAGGACGGCTAGACTCCACAGAGACCTCTCTCAACATGACAATCAGTGTTTGTGTTGTGTCGAGATAGTCGCCTCTGACTGTGTTGGGTTCTCTCTTATGCCTGTGTGTCAAACGGGATGACTCGGGTAGATGCAGGGGGCTAAACTGAGACGCTCTCAGCCCAGAGTCCATGCACAACAACCGTGCCTTTTGTCCCTTCTTTGCCCCCGTCCGCCCACACAGTGCTCATAATGTTCTGGAGAAAGAGCGTCTTTATCTTTTGCCTTCCACGGACTCATCTCGCTCACATATTTTAGGCTCCGTCCAAAAAGACAGCAGCTTAAACAGGCTAATGCGACAATATGCCTACAGTAACGCTGCACCCACCCACACAGGCTTTGACATTGAGACGCAAGCATTCACACACACACACACACACACACACACACACACACACACACACACACACGTAGGACCGAACAGATGTAGTCCAATCATTGACTTTTTTTTCTTGTTGATTAACAGAGAGCAGTCGGTTTCAGAGACGTGTCAGAGCTCAGCAGGTTAAATATTACACGTTCTCTCCCGCACGGCTGCTTTTCGGGTGTTTGTGTTTTCTCTTTGTGTCGAACATGGCCGAGCTCGGTGGTGTTTTTTTTTTTTTTTTGACAATGCCGAAGCGGGTGCTCAGCTGTGGAGGGAGGGAGGCAGGGAGGGAGGAGATAGAAGGGGCTGGCCAGAGGCTTGCCAAATCGGATGAGAGAGCGGTTGGGAGGAGATAGCTCCGAAAGTGGAGAGAGAGGAGAACACTGCAAGGCAAGAGGGATAAGCAAAGAAAGAGAGCAAACCAGGGGTGGGTGGAGGAGGTAGAAGAGAGAGTGACAGTGTGGAGTATGTGTTACAGGAGAAAAAAAAAAAGACACTCCGAGAGAGAAAAAGAGGGAGAGAGAGAGTGGGCGAGGCTGATATAAAAGGATAAAGGCGGGGTTGTGGTTTGTGTCACATGATCCCCTCGCTGGCTGTAGCCTGGTGAGTTCCAGGTGGCAGAGAGACCACAGATACAGTAGATACAGAGAGAACGGCAAAGAGGGAGCAAAGGCTCACCCTCAAAGACAACTGAAATTCCTCATTTCCTCCCTCCCGCCTCACACATCTCTGTTTCCCCCCCCTCTTTTTTCATCTCTGTCCTGAAGGAATTCTCCCCGGTCCCGCTTTCCCCGACTCTTCTTCCCGCTCCTCTCTCTCTCTCCTCTCCCGGCCTGAGCAGGCCAGGGAATGTCCCGGCGACGAGATGCCTTACGTGGACCGACAGAACCGCATCTGTGGCTTTCTGGACATCGAGGAGAACGAGAGCAGCGGCAAGTTCCTGCGCCGTTACTTCATACTGGACACACAGCAGGGAAGCTTGGTGTGGTTCATGGACAACCCACAGGTAATTACACAGAGCTGGGTTAGCTTAGCTCTTAGCTTTATTTTTTAGGCGGGAGGGGAGGGGAGGAGGGGGGGAATCTTCCAGGTAACTGCACAGGCAAATTTTTAATTTGTTTGCTGGAAAACTGGATAATCTACATGTTATCAGTGTAGATGTTCATGCAACTGTGTGCTGACTGCAGGCCACTTATAGCTGAGCTGTCTCCATTCATTACGACCACAAAATTAAGTACATTCTAAACGTTTCCACTGCCAGACAGCCCTCCAAGGTCGGGTGAACCTGCATTATGTAATTCTAGTTGACAGAATTGGGAAGCACATATCACAGGGAGGCACAGGAGTATCTCAGGACAGCGCGTCTGTCTCGCAGCTATCGGCAGACATCGCTGTAAATCATTCAGAAACGGCCTGAATGTTTTAACTCCAAACCTGGGATTAGCGGTTTGTCCGGTTGAGTCCGTGAAGTCGGCGCCGATATTTGCATTGACCACAGTGGCCATCATTGTCTGCTCCGTGACCCCTCGGCGTCACAGTTTCTGCAGCGTAACCGTCCTCTCGGTTCGTGCGCCGTGCCGGTTGGGTGATGCTGCATTTGTAAGCGCGCTGTTACATGAAGTATTCATAAATGATGTAGCGCAGGAGAAATTTTTAAATAATTCAGCAGGTTCCTTTCTTTTTATAGATTGGAAAAGGTTAAATTTTAATGACGTTAAATCTGGATCCCCTCGTTTCGGAAGCACAGCAAAGCACTGAAATTAACTATGATGGAGCGCAGCCAAAGTCTACTGTACTTACTCTATAATATTGACTTGCTTTGTAGAACTTTACTTGGGTCCTCCGACAGATCACATCCTGTCTCCCACAGCGAAGGATTTAAAAACATTTGTGTTGTGTAATTGTTTCATTAGTTTTAGCTTCCTTTTTTTTAACCACATATATTTTTCTTCTTACCGTCCTCCCTCAGAACCTGCCCATCGGTGCAGACTGTGTCGGTTCCCTGAAGCTCACTTACATCTCTAAGGTAAGCAGAGTTACCACCGAAGCTTATCAGATACAAACATGATAAGATTCTGTATAAATAGAATCATTTTACAGTATTTCATTGAAACGGGAAGCTAACAACTCTGGCCTTTGTCCTCCTCTAGGTCAGCGATGCCACTAAGCTGAGGCCAAAAGCAGAATTCTGCTTTGGTAAGAAAACACTCATCATCACAATTTTAATACCCATCGTCGTCGTTGTTATTCAGAATTAAATATATATTAGATAGTTTCCCAGAACATTATGGTCACGGCATAATATGAACACATCCAGAAAGAATTCACCATCTCATCCTGACACTGTGTCCTGAATGTGTTTTGGACAACACGGAGTCCGACTATCAAAGAATCCTGCAAGTCTTAAAAGAGCAGAACTTGACGAACGTCCGCAGCGCTATGCAAACATCAGCAGTGATGGTGTGCTTAATCACATGTTGACTAAGCTGAGTACCCTGAATATAACCTAAGGGAGGAATGTTTGTTGTCCTTGTCTGCCCCCTAAACTTGGTCAAGCTCTGCTCTCCACATACTTTCTCCACCACTGACCAGGCAGCCTCGTTTGACGCTGTGTGTTTAGTCAACACACAGAGATGCAGGAGGCTGCAGCAGTTAATGGCCTGGCTTTATGATGACCTCTTTCGGCTATTTCAGGGTTGTTTGTTCAGATTTCCGTAATCGATGTGATGGCTGAGTTGAAGTTTTCTCGAATCATTTTCTGTACAAATCCAGAGCTGTGACAAGTAGACATTTCTTTTTAAAACCATCCTCCATGAAGCTGAGGTTTTCATCTCATCTGACTTTCCTACTTATCTAAATGTAAAGATACCTGATGGAGCTTCCATTGTAAACAAGCTGTGTTGCATTGTATACACCCTAATGGCCTCGCAAGGCTCTTGGATACATTTACCAGAAGTTTAAACCTTTATTGTTTACATGAGCGGCCGCTGTCTTGCTACGCTGGGGCACTGATGGCTTTAGAAATGCATAACTGCCATCTAATGTTAATACCACACAGGACAGACTGTGTTGTACATCTTGAAACATGCACATTACTTGGAAACTAATCATTGGTTAACAATTGCATAGATTACATTTAAAAGAAAAAAATCTAATTCAGTGAGAATTGAATTGCATTATTTCAGTAAAAAAGAGCTTTTAGTTCTACACACCACAACAGCTCGGTCTCACTGAGTGTCTCATATAAGTTTCTGTTACCAGTTAACACATATAAATGATAAATAATACTTTTTAAAATCAATCAGTGACTTGTTCTTGTCGTCTCTCCGTGTGTGGTCAAGACAGAAATTCAAAAACGTTGCCCAAATATGAACCGTCATCAGATTATTTAGGAATAAACCTCCATCCCTTTGACTGTTTATTGGCCCCTCTCCCCGTCGTCCATCCGATTCAATAGCAGGAAGCACTAGTGTGTGACCAGGAGCTGACTGTGTGTACGTCTGGCTGTGTGCGCACCAGTCGCCTTGTTGAGGTTTCGACAGGATGCCGGCATCCTAATCGGAACCTGATTCCGAGACGTATAAAGTTATTTTTAAACTGCTGTTTTTGCGCCACGTGTTCTGCTGATATCTATGAATCCTGCCGCTCGAACCCTCTTCCTGCATCCAGCAACTCCAGAAGAGACACGGAGTGAAGAGAAGCATTTAGACGTGTTTGGTAACCGCCGTCATGCCGGCAGATTCTTTTATAGTAAGAAAATAGAGACTTGATTGTGTTCTGCGATAGATGATGGATATAAGTCTGGGCCTTGTGCGACGAGATAGTGAGCGAGATCAAGAGTATTTGTGTGAACTTTGGTGGTTGGCTGCGTTTCCCAGCAGCATTCAGTGTTTTGTATTGTGTAACTATGAGTCAGATCTGATACCCCAGCTTTGTCATCCCAGTGCCCAAGAGAGCGCAGCACTTTCACCACTACTGCCAAGCACTTTACCTCCTCCACATACAGCGGACACATCTGTACTCTTTGATTATTTTATGCTGGTCATCTGAGTTACACCAGACAGAGAGATTTATTTACAGGGAAGTGGGAAAAAAAAAAAAAGGTTTTAAATGTGTGGAGCGAACACACAGACTAAGGAAGAATGATCTTCATTGTGCCACAGAGTTTTGCCTTTTGCCTTTTTTTTTTACAGCTCGCCCCCGCCCGATTTACCAGTCCAGCTTTAATGTAATTTATTGCCATGGTGTCGAAAGGAAATAGAGGAGACACAAGGACGATTTGAGCTGTAGAACCGAAGGATTTATGGTAGTAAGAGAGACCCGGAGACTTCTTTCAGCCCTGAAAACCGGATCCATAGCTAATCAGCATTTGACCCAAAAATTTCTTTGTGATTGTGAATGTTTCGTTCACACGGGTGTGAAAATGCGTGAGAATATTTGGTGATTGGGTAGCTGTGGGCTCTTCTTCTTTTCCCCCCCTGTCATGGTTAGAAGTGGGTAGGTGGTGGCAGACTGTGGCAGCTGAATCTAGATGGGTCATTATCCACAGGGAGAGAAACTGCTGCTGGTTGTGTGTGTGTGTGGGAGAGTTGCTTGGCTCAGTTGTTTTTGACTCCCTGAGAAATGTGTGGCGGCGGATGTGTTCCGACACTCATCATATTTTCTCTACAAGAAAGCCACAGAACACGTAGTCAACCCTTCGTCGTACATTTTTATATTTGCAGCGCGATTCGTATTATACACGGAATCAATCAGACGGTGTAGAGAATGTGATCCGACTCCGAGAGGAGAGGCTTGAATATACTTTCACTTACTGTTGTTCCCACTGCTGTTTTCTTTTATCGTGTGTTAGTCATCAATGCTGGGATGAGGAAGTTCTTCCTGCAGGCCAACGATCAGCAGGACCTTGTGGACTGGGTCAACGCTCTCAACAAAGCCACCAAGATCACTGTAAGACACAAACACACGTACACATAATGTACGCAGACAAATACAAGACACACACACTCCGTCCCAGATTCAGCTGCGCTAATCGCTTCTTTTGGCTCATGTTTTATCAATGGGAAAAACTTTCATTTCTTCCTCCTCCGTTGAAATGAATGAGAGGACTATCATAAAAAGTAGATAGAAGTGAGTCAGAGCATGACTAACAGGATGTTGTATTGTTGCACCGAGTTCTGGGATAAAGCACTCTTTCCATTGTTCTCCGTGAAGCCTTAGCCATGCGGAGAGGAAATGGATATAAAATGTGTTGCAGCCTCGTCAGCTTCTGAATACATAAACTCGACTTTAACTACGGAGACGAGGACGATTTTCCAACCAGCAGAATTCCACAAAAAATGTCTTTCTGCGTGACACAAGTTTTTAACCCCAAATGATTTCTGGATGTTTTTAAAACACATTTTTAATCACTGTGGGCTCATTTTTCACTACAATATAAAGTCCTGCACCTTTATGAAAGCAGCAGCACCACACCTAGAAGTAGAGGCAACTTAAAAACGCCCTCAGTACAATGTGCAAATGGTACAATGCCACAAATCATAAACTGCAATCAACATGGTTTTACCAGTACTTGCCAGAGTAAATACCATGCCATAGGTATTTTACTACTTACATTTTTAGTTTGTTTCTATACTTGTCTCCTATCTGCTCTGTGTGAACACAGCAGAAAAGTTTAAATAAAACTCAATTTTAAGCTTTGATTTGGATAATTTTTCAGATGAAAGTTGAAAATGCAGCGATTCCTTCTGTTTTTACAGCTTCTTGAACTGACAAAGGGAGTCATTTTGCACATTTTCCTCTGAAAGATGACATGTTTGTCTAACTCACTGCTGGGTTTTGGGGGTTTAGGGGGTTAATTTCAAATTGTCGTCCAGCTTTTCATGTGTTTTTTTTTTTTTCTTAAGGTGCCAAAATTGTCAGATGGCCAGCAGAACTCTGAAAACCAGAAGGCTTTGCCTGATGTCGCAGGGCCCAAGAAACAAGTCTCCTATAAAACAGAGATCATTGGAGGAGTTCCCATTGTCACCCAGACACAGGTAAACATGACTGAAGCATGTGCTGCATCACGTACTGTGTTGTGTTGCGTTTACAAGTTTAGAGCCCTGCGGGGGAACACCAGCGACCAACTGCTGCTTAGTAGAAATAAACCATGTGGGCAGAACGCCGTACAGTCCTGAGACCTACTGAGTAGGAAGAATGCACATTATTTTGAAAACCACAGCTTTTGCCAGTATCTCTCCCACATTCCTTTTTTACTTTTCATAAAAATACTAGAAAAAAAAAACTATTTTGATAAATGAATCTACAACAAAGTGAGCTGCTTCCAGCTTCTCAAATGTGGGAATTTTCAGCATCTTTTCATACAATTTTAAACTTAATACGGATGAGGTTTGGCTGTTGGTTGGCCATAATAAGAAATGTGAAGACATCACCGTAAATTCCCACGTATTTCACGATAATCTGTAATTGCAATTCTTTTGATGACTGAGTGATTCATAGAAAAAAAAGCAACTGAGATTGATCATTTGCAGCTGCAGGAACTATTACTGTAGGCTATAAATGTTTGGATTAACATCTGAGGAAGAACTTTTTTTGTTTTTAGTAATGACTCAGGAGTTTGGTTGCACATGCAACCAGATTGCAACATTTGGTGTTCTAGTTTAGCTTAATGATGTATTGTGCAAAAGCAAAGAACGTCATAAATGAACGACACTTTGTTAAAGCTGCTTGAGCTGAAGCTCTTTATGACATTTGCCTCATTAGAAACATTATTTCAGTAACAAAGTGTTTCCTTCTGGATGTTTTCATGCCCTTTATTCACTTTGTTAGTGTTCTGGTAATGCTGTTTATATTTTTTTTTTTGCTAACTTGCAGTTCTCTGCTGTCACACAGTGTTATTCCAGCTCATTTGACATGTCAGTTGTTGACATATCAAATGAGAACTTAGGAGAACTTGCTCAGACATTGCTGATATCATGTCTGAGCAAGTTCATGTGGGTTGTCAGGTCACTTTTGGTGTGACAGGAGGTCAGCCGATTCTTTGATCAGGGAGAGATCTGCCAGTAAAACCCACCACTGGTCTCTGCTGCCAGGGGCACCCACAGATGCAGATTTTCAGCCCTTTTGTACTGTTTCCTTTTGGCAGAGAAGCTGGAAGCCTACTAGAGTGGATTTCTTTTTATTTGTTAATGTCAGAATAAACAAAGATCACCTCCAAGAGATCACAGGGTGTCATGGTGTCCTCTTCATGACAACACAGTGCAAAAGCCAACACTTACACCTACTATTGAGGCACCACCATAAGTGTAATGTTGATGCATCTAAATAAAAAAAAGCCAACCAAGTTAACCTGGAGCTCTGACTGCCAAATTACTTTACCTTTGTCTTTAAAATTCTGTCTGACACGGACTGCAAAACATGCAAAATATGTTTTTGAATATGACCTTACGATGACAATATTTCCGTTGTGCTTCACCCTCCAGCAAGAAGGTGGTGACGGTGCAGACAGAGCGGAGCGCGATGCCATGCAGCGTTCCCACAGCCAGCTGCCGTACTTCCTGGGCAGACCGGCCCAGGAGCACACCGTCATCAAGTCGGGCTACTGCGTCAAGCAAGGAGCCGTGGTGAGTATCTGCCGCTGTCTCGGGTCTCCTGGTTATGAGTTCATTTGGACTTGTTGGACTTCTCAGAGAAAATCTGCAGAAGTCCAGGCTCTTTCTGAAAAATCTGCTGCAATTAACAAGAGCATGCAACACTATTATTATTATGATTAGCGGCAAAGTTACAATTAGAGCCTCAAACATAAATGGCACGCTCATGTGGGAGGGAATGCTTTAGGATTGGTGGAATGATGAGATTTCAGCTTGATTTTGGTGAATATTTTGATTGTTGAAGAAAATACAACTTCTCCACTGTGAGCAATTCTGTGCTTTATAAATGCACAATATAATGTGTAATAATGTGCTCGCCCTTATATACAAAGACGATGTCAAATATATAGTAGGAAGGAAAAATTGTCCCTGTGTTATTGTAGTAAATTGACGTGTCACTTTTCCTGTTTTGCCTGGAAACTACACAAAAAGTCTCAACATCTTTTTTCCCCTTTTCTCCCCAGATGAGGAACTGGAAACGGCGATATTTCCTCCTGGAAGAAAACTCAATGAGTTACTTCAAGTCAGATTTGGTAATTAACCGTGATTCATCTACACGAAGCCGTTAAAGGAACGCTTTTATTGACGATGCATATGGATTTAATTCAGCGCCACAGTCTGCAGCGAAGTAACAGAAAACACACCGTCGCAAGTTCCAGCACGTTTAATGTGGAATTCAGCGCCTTCGCTTCACATGTCCCATCATGCCTCGTTCCCCCCCCTCCGGCCTTTCTTACATTCACACACGCAGACTGTCCTCAGGATAATACTGCACGTCCCAAACCCCGTCCTTGTCAGGGTCTGCCCTTATTTGACAACTTTATCTGTCTATTTGGCTATCAACAGGCCCCAAGGACACAGACTCTGTGTCTGCTGTATCAAATGGCCGGGTCAAGAAAGTTACAACCATCAGGGTTTTTTAGTCGGGTGTTTACAGTCTGCTACTTCGAGGAGAGTTCACTTTCCTCCCTCCCTGAGAAACCGAAAACAAACTCAGCTACTCGGCCTCATTCGTAGCCAGCATGTACCTACAGATAATAATATTTACTCTGTGTCGTGAACAGTCATTTCCTTGCCTTTAGGAGAAAGAGCCTCTGAGAATGATCCCGCTGAAGGAAGTTCACAAAGTCCAAGAGTGCAAACAGAGGTATTTAACATGTCCCGACATTTTCCCGTTATACAAAAAAAAAAAAAAAGGTCTTTGTCCAGGAATATTGTGTTTACCTTTTCTGATAAAGATGGATGAAGATATAAGATGAGGACAAAAAATATGTTCCAACTCGTTTTCTGCTTTGTTGTAGTGACATTATGATGAGAGATAATCTGTTTGAAGTCGTCACCACATCAAGGACGTTTTACATCCAGGTATGCAGTTTTCTATGATGACAGGAATGCTTCACGAACACACTCAGAGCTTCCGCAGATGTTTGTAATCTGAATATGTTCTGTGCTTGAACCACTAATTCTGACTTCCTCTTCTAATTGTCCCATTCAGTTTGTTCTCACTGTTTTTTTTTTCCCTCCCTGTGTCTCCACTAGGCTGACAGTCCAGAGGAGATGCACAGCTGGATCAAGGCTGTCTCAGGGGCCATCGTGGCCCAGCGGGGGCCCGGGAGGTCTGCTGCCACAGTATGTATCTCACACCCCAGTACAGCACAAAGCCACCGTTTGTGACTCGGGTTAGACGGAGTCACACATTTAGCAGAGAAATTATTTGAGACTTGACTTCCTTGAGCAGAACTTGAGACTTTGTGAGTGACATCTGGTGGTTGGAAGAGTCGAGTCAGGACTATACAGAAACGTGTATGATTTGTTTCTCCCATGTCATTGTTTTGGTTTTTATTTGCAGTCTCTTGTTCTCACAAGTGCTGGTGAGAATCCTTTTTCATGTCAAACCGATGCAGAATAGCAAAAGCTGCAGTTTGGCAGTGTGTTCCAGATAAATTTGCCTTATAATTGTGCTTTAACAATAATAAATTGTGCTTGTATAGTCCAAAAACAAGACAAATGAACTTAAACTGTGCTCTGTGTAGCCTGCTCTAGTTGTTGCCAAGTCCCAGGCACAGTACAGAACTGTGACTTATCAGGCTGCACAGAAACAAACAGAAGGATCATTAGGAGGAAAATAAACTAATTATGCATGTATGTATGTGTGTAATTCTGTATTTTAATAGTCTATTTTTGCAGTATTTACCTTGAACTTTGCACAGCCTATTCTGCATTTTCCTCATCCTTTCTCATCACCACCCACCAACAATGTACGGATTTATTCGACCACCTTTTTGGACATGTTATGTGTTTATCAGACAGAGAGTTGATAGATGCCAGTAAATGAGAAACATGCAACAAAGGCGTCCAGCTGGATGCCACCTTGGGACATTGTCCTCCACTCCAGACCTACCAGGACGCCCCTATTTAGATTTTTAACTCAAGTAGATAACTGGTCTAGCAATAGATAAACCTACCAGAGTTTTAGGGCTTCATTAATTCTGAAGAGACCGATATCTAGACCTGAAGGGGAGCAGAGAAGTAAACCACTTCTGTAATCGTGGCTGCAGAGAGAAGCGGGCCTCTGCTGCAGCTGGTCCCTTCTGGTTAGACTGGAATCAATCTCTGCGCTCCGTCTGTTTCTCTACAGTTCCCTTTCTGCGTCCTGTGTCTTTCTTTCTTGCTTGTTTTTCCTCTCCTGTGCATCTTCTCTCTCTATTCTCTTTTCTTCTCTCACATTCTCTCCACCTCCTCCTCGTCTCCCGGTGGCCAGACGGCCCATCTGCTCTAATCCTGCTTTGCACTGTGTTGTTGCAGATGCGGCAGGCCAGACGGCTGTCGAACCCCTGTATACAGAGGTATACGTCCCGAATCGGGGAGTGCAGCAGCACGTATGTCAGCTCGTCTAAATCCCCTTTTTAAACTATAAGTTCACCTTTTTAATACTTTTTTTCCCACTCACTGGCTGGCCCTTTTGGTTGTAGACACGAGAGCAGATCAGATCTGACCGCACATCTGATGCTCTCTCTCTCTCTTTTTATTTATTTTTTTTCTAAGAACCAACCACACCCTAAGTATGGCTGTGATAACCCAACAAGCGCTCCTCCCTTCACGCCCTCATCCTTGCTGCTTCTCTCATTCATCTCTCCTCCTCTGTTGCTTTTCTTTTTGCTGTATAGTCACATTAAGCTCTGCTTAAAGTTTAGGTCCATTGAATTCAGATGGTTTGCAGCTAAACAGGTGCTAATCCTGTGTCAGGAGTTCTCAGACTCAAGGTGTGCTTCATTCTCTTGCATGTGATGGCACTCGCCAGAGGCATGACAACTCAAATCAAGCATACCTCAAGTCTTTCAAATGCTAAGATTTTTGCTCAGATGCAGAGTGACTGTAAACAGCTGGAGTATGACAGTCACTGCCTCCCTGCCTCCGATACAGCTTCAGTTGCACAGCTTTCACCTGTTTCCCCATTCCTGATGATGTTTCAGTGTAAAAATGGAATTACACATGTACGAGTACAACCCATGCATAAACCGACATTGACTGCATGAACTATCTGTCCAGCTTAGCCAGAAATAAGCCTGTTTCTATCTTTGTCTTTATTACTGTGTCTTTCACACCTTCTGTTTCTCTTCCCTTCGTGCCCTGTTATCTCTGCAGTCTGCTGCAGCTGTGTACCTGTCTTAGATGTGTGACATCCTGCTTGTCTCTCCTCCTCCCTCCTGTTCGCTGCCTGTATGTTTTTTTTTCTCTCTTTCTCATACACATGATAATACGACACTTGTTTCCATGTTGACTTCCTTATATCTTGGTGTGCTAGAGGTTAAACGATGCAACAGCTTTGTAGTAAAACTTCACCGATGCTGAATCCACACGTCCAGAGCTGCAAACTGGGTTTTCATAGTCACATGAGAGTCATTGGGTTTGTAAGAGCTCATAAAGCATGCAAAGGGCTAATGGGACATACCTGCACTGTGTGGTTATGTCGGTTATCAGCGCGGTAGATTATCTGATCTCTGATTTTGGACCTTTGAATTCAGCACAAAGCTTCTGTTACACATGTGAGGCTCTTAGTCACATTATTAGGCATGTTTTTTGCCACAATTTTGTAATGCTTAATTTAAATATACTGGAAGTTGCACAAGCCGGCGATATCACGTGGTGTCGCCCTGCCAGCGTAGCATCGTGTTTGAAAATGCAGAACCTTAAAGTGACACTTAGGAGACTCTTGGGGCTTTCTGGGCGGGGTGTTTGTCTAACCAACATTTCACCGACTGCTTTACAAGCTACCCCTCTTTGCTTCTACTACCTCTACTGTGCTTTCTTCTTTCTTCTCATGCTTCTGTTTTTTTCAGAGATTGAAATCTGACAATGAAAGGCTGTGAAATAATGAGCAACAACCAACCACTGCTTCCTAAGGCACTCTGTTTGAACTTCCACTGCAACCTATTGAGACTACCAAAACTAAAAACCTGCTGACACTACTATTCCTGCTACCTCTACTACTACTACTACTACTACTACTACTACTACCGCTACCACTGCTACTACCACCATCTCCCCTCTCTAGCAATGCTACATTCTTCAGCACCTCCAACCTTCAAGCTACATCAAGCCCCACATGCTGGTGCTAATTCCAAGTCTGTAACTCACTTTGGCTCTCCTCAAATACACTCTACACGTGTCGGGATTCGACTTTTCTGGCTAACGACGACTCTTCTCTCGCTTTTCTCTTGTGTCTTCCTGCGTTTTTGTCCCCCCTCCTGCAGGAACACGGCAGCCGTTCCACTTTCTACCGCAGCCCCGCGGGTCCCCCCGTCCCTCGCTCGCCCATATCTGCCATGCCACCATGCTACCCAGAGTGGGGGGCTGCTGTCCCGTGCGGCCCACGCTCGCAGCCTGGCGTGGGACAGCGAGCACTTCATGAGCCTGCTGCCGCGCCCCAGTCACAGCCACACGCCAGCACGCCTGTCCCTGCAGGAGACGCGCCTGGCAAAGTGACCGGCGAGCCACCCGCGACCACCATCGCTAACTCCGAGGAGGAGTCACCATGGCGACGGCGGAGCAGCTTCGAGCCCCACATGCCCGACGCACACCTGGACCTAGACGACGCCGATCTGCCAGTGAGCGAGGTGTGACCCCGCTTCAGCCGGACGCTAAAACTTGCTTCTCTGGACGGAGGTGAAAGAGGAAGGAAGGTGTTGAAAAGGCAGGCTTTGGTTTCTTTAAGTCAAAGCTGCGTCACAAACTCATCCATCAGCGTGCAAGAGAAAAACAAGGTGGGTCACCTCTGAACTGCACTCGTGTGCCAAAGACGACCCAGTGTTCAGCCACCGCCCTCCGCCTGCCTGCTGTCTCAGTTACAACGGCGTAGTTATTTACCAAGAGTTGATTTTTTTTTTTTTTGTCAAAGCAAAACTACATATTTTACTTGTGCTGATTAGAATTCATTGAAGAGCTTTATTTTAACCTGTACAGGCACAGTGTTCGACGGTGTGTGTGTGAGCAGAGGAACCTTTTGTAAACCACTTTGTGCCAAGAAAATAAGGGAGATTTTAAGGGTGCAAGCTATTTCCTCAAGTCTGAAAAGAGCGTTAAACTGAGGACTGGCTCTTGTTTTTTTTTTCCACCTCTCAAATCTGTTAATACTAAACTGTGTGGTCCGTTCATACACTCATGATTCTAACACTGGATCAAGCCTAGTCCAGATCAGATCCTCACTTTAATGCAAATCAAAGATGGTGGACTGGGCTCGGACTAGATTGATAATACTCGTGTATGCAAGACCAAAATGTGTTGCAGCCACATTTCGTCTGGTTGTTCTTTTTTTTTTAACAGTTGCCAAGCCGCTGACTTGAATTTCTTTGTTTTTAAATATGCAGGACGGTCGAGGTCAGTTGTTCGTGTGATGTCGTCCTCCATGAGTTTTTAGTTGATCGAGTAGACTGTTAACGACCACGAGATAAAGTACACACACACACACATGTAAATCTACAACGAATAGCTTTTCTAGTTAATCCACCTCCGGTAGTCAAGTGACAGTACTGTGCAGAAGTGCAAAAAAACATCCTAAAGCTTTCACAGCATGTGCATCACATTTCAACGTGAATCAGCATCTTTGCGAGCTGCATTTCAGTCCGTCGGACTTTGTGGACTCACGGCGACATGAGGAAGGAGGAAGAGCGTTTTACAGGAAGAGTACAAAAAGTATGTTAATATGCATTTTGTAACTGGTGTTAATAATAACCAACAATACGTCAGCTACAGAGCGTCCTCGTGTCCTGACAGACTGACAGACTCACATCAGGTACCTAAACCTGCAGCCCATAGTTTGACGATAAAACTGTACAAACACCACAAACGTTTTGGATCTTGGTTCAACAGAAAAAACACATTTAAGCTCAGACACTTCTGTTGCATGCTAACATTTTAATAATTCCTCAGATTGTTTTTCTGTTTTTAGTTGATCTACAGACGCTCTGGTTGTTGTGTATTTGCAGACTAGAAACAGATTTATTTTTTTATATGCTTTTAAACGTGTCCTGGTCCTGTTCTTATTGTATCTGTGTTGCTAATCCAGTAGCAGGCAGCTGCCTCATGGTGTTATCTAAAAAAAAGAAAAGAAATAAAAACAAGTCCCTCCTAAATCCTGCTAAATAATACACACTAATCTTTTTTTTTCTTTTCTTTCTTTCTTTTTTTTTTTTTTAAGTGCCTGCTTTATTTCAGCTCAGCAAAGCCAAGCTATTTCACTCCGTTTTCAGTCTGGTGTAATTGGTTTGAATTGTCTCTATTTATTATGTGGATGACTTGAAAGAAATAAACACTGAAAATGTGCTCAGGTTTCAGTTCTGTGCTTATCAGACACACCAAGCGCGTTATCGCCGGTGAGAGGTTTCGAAAGTCTGGAGGGAAAAAAGAAGAAGACATTTCGAAGCTTTCAGTCTGCTGCTTGATTCTCTTGTGCTCAAAGCGTCCTCTGCCCCCTTGTGGTGAGAGAGAGAACTTCACTGTGAGTCCATTAACAAGACACTTGTGAGCAGTTATGTGTTAATCAGTGAAGGGACGATTTAGTTCACAACATGGAAATCCTGTGAGTGCTGCAGTGATACAGTAAAAGATCAACAGGAAGTAGAACAGAATGAAGGAGCAGCAAGATCCACCAAACCTGTTCACACAGAGGCACTAAACGTACAGATGGGTGACGGATTAAGGAGAAAAGTGAACCCTTGATCGTGACAGTGAGGATAAATGTTTGGCTCCATTTGTCTCCTTGGAGGGAAGAGTCCCTGCAAATCAGTACAAAGTTGTTCTGAGGGACCACCTTCATCCAATGATAGATGTTTAGATTCTTAACTTGGGGAAAAACAGCATTTCAACACAGTAAGTACATGAAAATATAAATATGTATATAGAGAAGTTGTGAGCAAAATGTAGTTAAAGAAGGAAACGTAGGAGTAATTCTGATTCTGCTGCAAGTGTTTGGATGTTTGACAATTTTACTAGAAATGTATTCGTTTTATGTTTGCTGCTGTAGTTGGCTTACATGAAGTTTTTTATTTTATGGAGCAAACTGCAATGGTGCATTGTACATTTTTTAAGTATTTATTTTACAACACTTCACTGCTATTTCACAGATTTTCACAGCTTTGTGCAACTACAGATCATAACTAGTAAAATCACAGGAAAAAAAATATTAATTTACATTTTAACTGTAAAAAAACTGTCCAAAATTTTGTATTTTTACAAATGTTAATTTGATTTTTGTATGTTGAATAATAAAATTACACTATTTTTGACTTAAATTAGCAAAAAAATAGTCATTTTACAAATAAGGAACAACAGATTTAAAAGAAAAATGAGGTGTATTAAGGATTGAAAAATGGTAAGTCATTTTTGTAAGTGTTATTTTACAGATTTGTGCCGGTTTTGTTAAATTACAGATAATTCTAGTAAAATTATAGGAATTACAGTCCAAAAAACATGTTGAGGTTAATTGGTGATTCTAAATTGTCCGTAGGTGTGAATGTGAGTGTGCTTGGTTGTCTGTCTCTAAGTGTAGCCCTGTGATAGACTGGTTACCTGTCCAGGTGAACCTGTCTTCACCCTGAGTCAGCTGGGATAGACTCCAGCCCCCCATGACCCTAGTGAGGATTAAGAGGTGTATAGATGATGGATGGATGATGACTAAACTGTAAATAGTGTCCACATCAAGTATCTGTATGTTTAGAAGTAGAAATGTGTTCTTTTGCAATGTGTGACTGCAAAATCACACTGTTTTACTTGGTTTAATTCAGTTAAAACTATCAGTGTTCTGCAGATATTTTCCCATAATTTTTAAACTTTTTGAATGCTATGTTCTTCCACTGTTTTTAGCGTAACATTTGTGGAACGCTTGCTGCCTGATTTTCACTGTATTCTCTATGTTCATGTTGTGTTTTCTGAGTAGAAATCTTAATCTGCACCACAGCAAAGTAACAGAAGACCAACATGATTCCATGTGGACTGTAGAGCAGTATAACAGTTTATGAAACGTACAGTCCTGCTGTCCGTCCCCTCATACAGCAGCAGCGGTTTCCTCTTCCACCCTGATGACTGTACGAGTGCCGTTCATCATCTCTCTACATATTCAGCATTTTGCCTCCATGCAGCGCGTGCAGATGGAATTACAGAGTGAGGTCATGGAGCAGCACTGAATATTTAAAGCCCCTTTAATCAGTCAGATAACGAGCTGCAGCGTAAAAGCTTCAGGCTTTTGTGTGCTCGGTTTACTGTGGACGCTGCAGAAGTGTGAAAGCAAAAAGAGGGAGAATAACAGCAACATGTAGGGCCGCCTGGAGTGTCGAGGCAGTAGTTTGTATGTACAGCTCTTGGATCCTCCACATGGCTACTGTAACTCTCAGCTCCCTATTGGCGTACCCGAGGCTTTGGTGTGGCTTCAGACGTGGAAATAAAGCCCCGTTTCCGAGGGCCTCACTGGCAGCCGAGCCCTCGTCGCAGACCGGAGAGGAGAGATCACACAGACCTCAGTGGCGTCCATCCTCGGCTGCTGTCGGTCGGAGGGTTGGGTGTTCCTTATAGATGAGGTTGTTTTCATCTGCACATTTTCCCACCATTTCTCGCCTATGTACCGCCGCATAGTGGGGCTGCTGGAAGGCCTCAACTGCCTCTGTTCAGTTTTTACATCAGCCAACAATGAGTGGATCAGAATTACACATAAATACATGTACCCTCTCATTCAGCCAGCTCTGGGTTACAGTCTACTTTGTGTACACTCTCACTGTTTTCTTGTGCAGCCCACTGTGACTGCCCCTCCATCTCTTTATGCCCCTGTCTAATTACCTTTTAGATACAGAGGCTTGTGTTACCCGGAGCTCTGGCTCACCCCAGGGTGCCTCGTCCCTCAGGTCCTTCCATTCCCAAGCAAGCTGCTCAGAAAAAAAGAAAAACCCCTTTGCCTCACAATCGATCGCTTTGTGTTGAGGCGGTTTATGACGCTGATTTATGGCCGCAGAGTTTACTGGACTCTCACAGCTCACCACAGACATCTAAATCTAACTGAGATTTGTTGCTCACCAACTCTTGTTCCCTTCATACTGGAAATGGGTGTAATTCTTTAACAAACAATAAAAGTCTCAGATTATTTTATGGTATTTTTTTAAGGGGAAACCTTTAAGCAGTTGATTGATTTACACTTAAACTTGGCAGCCAATGATTTCAGATTATTTTTAGTCGCCCTTAGTAGACGTTGTTTACGTCCCTGCTAGCTGGGTGCCTACAACACAGAAGTGGATAAATCATGTTCTCTTGCCATCTTCCAATTAGAACCAACATGTCTGTTTATAAAAGGTTACACCAGTGTGCAACACTAAACCCACCCAACCTTTTTTTAAATTTTATTTTTCCACTATTTATTTTTCTAATTAACCACAAGGCCTCCTGTTTATGCCAGGAGTGACTAATTCATAAGAGGGTGGTAAAATAAAAAAATCAGGAAACAGGCCTGCAGGGTGTGAGGAGGGCTGAGCAGCATGTAAAACATCTGGGCTTCTTCCACTACTGCAGGTTTTATATGTTCTATTTTTAATTTGTTAAATCAAATCAACACCATTAGCAGCAAACACTGGCAGGACTGGAAAGTCACTGACAAGCTCCAGAGAGGCAGTAACATGACTAAAGTTGACCCCCTAAAAGCAAAACAGAGGTTCACACTCTTGCTTTCCAGCGCTGCCGAATATTTCATGTTTTGTGCCATACACTCTGGTTTTACACCACCTCCCTCACATGCCCACTTTCTGCTCTTTTCTGGAGTCAATAACTCAGCTCTTTCGTTCAACACGTCACGCAAACGCGACCAATCGCCAGGCTTGTTGTGATTGTCCAGAAAGTGAGCTGCTGCTGTGATGCTGTGCCAGCAGAAAAACGTAAAGTCGCGTAATTGGTTGCGCAGTGGAGTTTTTGTTAAATGCCTCTCCAGCTGGAATGACTCCCCCCCTCTCCACTCAGCTCTCTCTCATCCCATAACACTGCAAGCAGAGAGGCGAGCTTCTGCAACTCCTTTTAAACTTTCTCTTTGACTCTTTAGAAACTTAGTTCTCGTTGGAACCATGCTTTGGCCGCTGTGCGTAATCGTCGCCTTTGCGTCCTGGCCGGCTGATGCGCAAATATCCAGCCGGTACGCCATCGGATGTCCCGCTCGGTGTGACAAGTCGATGTGTCCCCGGCTTCCAACGGACTGCCAGGCGGGACAGACCCTCGACGCCTGCCACTGCTGCCCGGTGTGCGCCTCCGGTGAGGGCGAAGCGTGCGGCGGCAGCGGGAAGCTCGGGGACCCGGTGTGCGGAGAGGGGCTGGAGTGCTCGGTCTCCGGCGGGGTGGCGTACACTGTTACGGTGAGGAGGAGAAGCAAGAGCGGGATCTGCGTGTGCAAAGCCACCGACCCGGTGTGCGGAAGCGATGGGGTGTCCTACCGGAATATCTGCGAGCTGAAGAGGGTGAGCCGCCGGGCGCAGAAGCTGCAGCAGCCACCTGTTCTGTTCATTCAGCGGGGAGCCTGCGGGAAAGGTAAGACTCAGGTTGTTTTGCTCAGAACTAAATCAATAAGATCCCCAAACAAACTGAGGATAGATGAAGGGTCAGGAGTTAAACTATTATGCCACAGAAACAGAACTTTTATGAGCATGATTTTGGCACCAGTAGGTACTTTTTACAACTTGCTCTTGAACATGACCCCCAAAACTCTCAAACTGGACATTTGTGGTGTGAAGTTCACACAGATGCTGTGTTGCATTCAGTTGCACACAATCCCCATGTGTCTGGGACAACAAGAGCACCATTCAAGTGGGTTTTCCCTCTTGTTCCTGCATTACAATTAGACTTGATCAGAGAGCTGTTCCGGCTCACTGAGGTCATGAGTTGTCCCCTGATGTAAAGCTTGATGGGAGCCTTCGGATTATCTCTGGCATGCACAACCAGCAGTCACATGTCTGTAATCTGCTGCTTGATAGTTTTATACAATGTACCAGGGCAGTTTTTTTTTTTTTTTCAGCTGAACTGAAAGGAATGTTGAGTACGATACAGGCTGTTATTAAACAGTGATGGTATATGTCAGCGTTTCAGTCTGGATCTGCACTTTGTCTGCTGTGACAAGCAATCAGCTCAGTTATAAGCAGACATTATTCTTTGTGGATGCATATCCTCCAGTGAGCCATTCATCATCATTAACAACATGTGTGTCTTAAAATATCATAAGAAACATCCAGGAATGAAAAATGTCCACTTCCACACAGGCCACAGGTGGGAAAGCCATTGTACGATTCCTCTGGTTTCATGTATTTCACATCTGAAGTGGGCAGCACGCGTGCGCTCGAAAACTTCCGACTTGAAGAGCTTCAACACCTGTTGCCTCAAAGACCTAGAAGTTAACTCAAGGCTTGGAAACCTACTGCATTCTCCCCCCCTCCTCTCCAATCCATCTCCTTCCTCTCTCTTCCTTTTCCCTCTCCTGCTCTGTGTTTCTGTTGTCGCTCGTAAATCACACTTAACAGTCGCATGAAGGAATTCCTGGCGCTGACTCAAAGCCACGGTTCCTCCTCTGTTGAAGACGGTTTTAAAACAGGCAGGAGACACCGAGGAAAACACGAAATTAGTAACCGGTGTTTTGGGGGGAAGGTTTACATGTACATCAAAAAGCGTGTGGGCGCAGCGGTGGGGCAGACTGTATCGCCACATTTGTTTGTCAGTCATGTAAGCAACTCGAACGGTTAAGTCATTCCCAGGCAGCTCCCCACGTCTGAAACAGAGCAAGACTGCGGTGAGGGCCATTGATTTTCCGAAGCACCCAAAGAAAATTTCCACAGCTGCGATATTTCGACATTTCGTTGCCTCTGTTCGTGCTGTCGGTGAATAAATGCTACCATTAGAAGCCTTTAAATTAACTTTAAATTGTGATTAAGGCTAAGAAACTCAACCCCCTCTGAGCGCCTTCAACTCCCCTCCCTGCAATCTGGCCCCATGCTAAGAAAACATATGCAAGTCAAGTTGCAATGATGTCACTCCGTGTCTGGACTGTAAAGACGTTGATTATGCAAGTCATTTATTTGGCAAAGAAAGTAGGTCAAATTATTGCTGTGACCTTTGGGGTCACCTGATTTTTTTGGGGGGGGACTCTTTGAAAGCCTTCAGTGCTGGTGAAAGTGCATCCACTGGACACCAGGTTAGCACATGGATCAGAGCTGTTACGAGGCAGATCTGAGCGAATGAAGGTGTGAGATGATTCTCGCAGCACTTCCTTAATAATCAGGTTAGACTTTAATCCAGTTGAAAGCCCGGCGCAGTTCGTAGCTGCTTGGCTGCTCCTTATTTCATCACTGACTGATGTTGCAGAATGCACTCGCTGACTCCGGCTGCTGGCATTTGCTGAGTGTGCGCATTCTCCCTTCAACTTGTCTCAGCCACTTATTATATTAAAACATCACACACGTGGCTTTTTTTTTTCTTTCTTCCTGTGTCATTCTATCAGTCCGTCTGTGCTCCTGAATGCCCGTCCGTCTGTTTTCCTCATCTATTCTCCTTCCTGTTTCTTCGTGCCTGTACTTTTCCTGCTTCTTTTATCCCTGCTTCTGATGCAGCCTCTTGCAAACACAACCTTTCCTCTTGCGTATCTCGTCTAATCACAACAACATAAAAAGTTTATGATTCCGTTTCCTCCTTCCTCTCTCCAATCAGCCAAACAATCCTAATGTGACTTTCAAAGACCACCAAAGCTCTTTGTTTCTGCCAGTATTGAACCATAGAAACTCTCGTAAATGTTGCGCTGACTGTTGCATTGGCGCTGCAAAACAAGAAGGGTTGCAAGTCGATCTGAGCAGTTTTCAAACAACAGAATGTGACGTGCTTTGGATTTGGGCTCTTCATGCCGCTGAAACTGTCACCTTTCTCACTCAGATGTGTTTCTGATTGATTTGTGGGCTTCGATCTTTGGCTGAAGTTCACAATGGAAAGACTAAAATAGGAATTAGGAATGAAAAAAATTAGGTTAGTTGGAGTTACTCACACAGCTGCAAAAGCTTGGCTGTATATCTTTGTAGCTGCGGAAAAACAGAGCCTCATCAACGCTAAATGAGTCATGATGTCACATTTTAGTGTCCTAATATTCATATCTGTCGAGTTACTAAAGACGTGTCCGGAGCCAAAATCAATGACCGACTGGAAATCATTTTATAACAGCGCACGCACCAGCTTCATTTCCTCTATAAGGCCAGTTAAGGCCAAAAAAGGAAGCAAAAGGAACCACAAGATTTGCATTTAATGTACCCATTTTTTAACCAAAATCCATATTTTCTTTTGAAAGATGTGCTTCTACACAAGCCAGGCTCTAGTGGCAACAACAAAAAAAACCCCTAAATGTCAGTGCATGAAAACTAGAAGCTGACTTCACTGTATTCACATCAAGATCTTTTTTTTGGAGAAAGAAAAAGCTGCAGGCGCCAATAAAGCAGCTACAGAGAGCTATGTATGGGAAAACCGAAGAAGAAAAGAAGCTGAGATCTTGAGCGGGGACCCTTGTGGTGAACGTCAATGTGCAGAGCGGGGAGGGGTAATGAGTACATGGGGCGGTGAGGTTAGGGGAGAGCTTTTAGTGTGTGCGTTAGGGAGTGCTTTTATATGAAGCCTTTTTAAAATGTTGTGTTTGAATGGCTTTCCCCACATTTAATACTTGATTTGACTTCAAAAACAATCTTTTCGACATCTGACTGGTGTTAACGGATGCTAAACTTTATTAGGCTCTTTCATTAGCAGTTACCGCACTTCTCAATATGTCTTCCATGTGGATGAAATCTCTGTCAGGTCCAATTCATTGCACTTTATATGTCAGTATGTTGCTTAAACTCTGTCATGTGTGAATTAATCCATCAAATACTGTATTCACTTTTTATTGGAGCTCTACGTTACTACTGAGTAGGAATTTGATTATCTACACACCATTAGTCCGTATCTACTGCATGCAGCTGTCTTTTTTCTCAACCAATCAAACACTTCTAAGAATTTAAACCTTGACTTATCCCTTGACGTCTACCATTAACTTGACTGCCTTCTCCAAAAATACCTGAAACTGTTCAAGCTAAACACTTGTGAAATGTATAGGAGACCCGCAATATGATAAATTCCAATCTGGTGTTCACCCAACACTCCTAAGTGATACTTTTGTATGTGTACTGATGCTGCTGAGTTTCCTAAGTGTTAATTATGTAGATATATATGCTAATCAAAATACCCCCACTGATAATGGTGATTCTTTGAGTCTCTGTAAGGGATTCATCTGTTTTCCTTTGCTCATGTTTCTTGTGGCGTCCCTCAGGGCTCAATTCTTGGTCCACGATTCTTCTCCTACTTGGATAGGATCAACATAGTTTAGTTTCCATTTCCCACCATTGCTGTCATTTTTACTGATTTAAACTGAAGCAACTGGACAAACTCTCTGCTTAACTGGTTGACTTGAGGTTCTTACTTTCCCTAATTAAAATAGCAAATGAATGGAAGTGCTCCATACTAATTGCATTGGATCACATCTATAGCAGAGTCTCAGGCTGTTTTTTTGCACAGGAAAAGTGATCATCATAAAATTTGAAATTGCTTTTTTCCAAATGAGTTGTAAATTACAGACATGCATATGTAACTGAAGAAATATAAGATAGTTGCCAACCTTACATTGGTCGTCATGTTCTAGTGTCTGAAAAGACTGACTGACTGTTGATGGATATTGCATGTGTTGTCCTGTTTTTATTGACTGCTCGTAGGCCCTGTGTACATCTGGCATTATCATCCTTAGGAGGTCCAATCACAACAACACAACTCTGAGTTCACATCTGGCGTTAGAAAGCGTCTTAGGTGAAGTCTTGCGATTGGAACTCACTTTCCTGCTCTGCAAACAAATAAACACGTACATCATTTCTGTTTACAAAGACCAAATGCACTCTTGTTTTTACCAGGCGGGAGGCAACGAAGCTCCTCTGGTGCCAAGTCTACGAGAAATTTAAAGAAGAAGAAATCGCAGTATTCATGTTCTTGTTGCCTTTTGTTGCACTTTGATACGACCACCTCTGAATGTGATCTGAGCGACTGGATCTTTGTCCACCTCAGTGCATCTTGGTTGTGTTTACGCCTCTACTTAGAGGCATCTACTTGTGATTGGATCACCCAAGATGCATTTCAGTGCCAAGTGTGAACAGGACTGTTGATGGTGCTGCATTGTATGGAAGAAAAAATGCTTTCTTAATAAACTTAGTTTAGCTGTAAGACGCTCATTGTCTAGTATCTGACGCTTACTGACTAACAATGAATTTCCACTTTGGCTCATGAATCCGGTGCAACTCAAAACGTTTGTATTGTCTAATTATAGATGGAGGTTCGAGCTGTCTAGTTACAGCAAACGGTACGCAACGAGCAGCTGAAGCTGAGTCACAGAACGGCTCAGTTACAATTACAACTTGCGTGCAGCAACAAGTTTCCAGAGCCATAGTGACCCAGTGTGCGACTGGACATTCCTTCTTGTTTGCTTTTACTTATAGCACTGACAGTGTCCAACATAAGCTTGTAAAGTTAATGTTTAATAGCTGAACAGAGCAGTTTGCTTTGTCACAGTTGCAGGAAAAGTCTACTTTATGTTGTACTTGAAACATCTCTGAACTGACCACTACCTACACTGTGTAAGATTTCTCCCTTTAAATATGTAAATGTTGCACATGCAGTGACGGCAAGTTAACTGTTTACGATACGATGGTGATTACAGATCTCCTCTCAGTTCAGCAGATGGGAAAACGTTGCAAAAGCTAAATGTGGATTAAACACAATCCCTGCTTTCCTACCACAGATCAGCTCTATTTAGGACTTCACAGTTAAGGATGAATCAGACCTTTTTGGTTTTATTTTCAGTTTGCCTCATAAGTCAACTTAATTCTACAACAGTGAAGTCTTCTAAGCTCAGTTAAGCAGCAAAATTATCTGTCTCATATATAAATCAGGCAGCGGTGGCTTGGCCTGGCTCTCTAATGAACGTGAGCAGCGTTTTGATTCACGATCCCCCAACATAATCGTCACCAGCGGGCCTGCTATCTCTGTAGTGGTAGTGGTGTGGTCCCTGGTTGTAAATTGTGTTTCGAGGAGGCCTCGCTCATCACAACATGCTGAAGTGGAAGAGACTGGGAGCCTGCGTGGACGCTCCAGAAACAACACAGGTTCTGGACACTGGGCCTGCTTTCTTTACCAGTAATCCTATCAGAGGCGACCACAAACTCCCCCCCCACCGCCTCGGGTCTGCAGCGAGCTAGCACGGGGAAAATGACTCCAACGTTTCCATTTCATACTGTGGTGAGAAGCTTGTGTGGCATTTATCAGATTTAATGCTTGATTTAAGGTTCAACCAGCAAAATATACTCTACGTGGAGGTTTGGGGAAAAAAAGTCGTCCCATTTGTTTGTGAGCAGCTTCTTTGGAGCTGTTGGTTCCAGGGATGGCAAGGTTTGGCCAAAAGTATGTCTGTTAGATGGATTGCTGAGAAGTTCTGTTCAGACATTTATGCTTCCTAGATGATGAAACCTACAGACTTTGGTGGTTCCTGTACATTTCCTCTAGAAGTGAAATATCTTGGATTGGCATGAAAACTGGTAATCGACTCTTCCTTCGTGCCTTGAGCGGCTCCAAGTTTTCAGTTATCTCGCAAAAATATCTCAAAATCTACCTCATGGATTGGTACAAAATGGGTCCCAATGTTCCCTTCTTTAATGACTTTGGTGATCTCTTGACGTTCCCTCTTGAGCCACACTGAGGTTCACATTCATGACTTTGAGTGAAATGTCTCATCGGGTGGATTGTCATCAAGTTTAGCATCTGACAATCGAGAGTGATCCAGGGATCATATAACGCCAGAACTACCTCCCTGCGGGTTGACAAATGTTTTCATAGTGTATAATTTAGTGGTATTCACTATGGCAAGATGGTGCTCCTTCCATGCCTGTGTTAGCTTAACTGCACCTCAAGTGGAAAGTCTGGTTCTCATTCCTTAACCCTTCACTGCAATCAGCGATATCCCAGGGCTTACGGGGAGCCTTTGACTTTCGCAAACTCCGTCCTTTAAGAGAAAGTCGCTGAACGTACGTGGCAAAATAAAGGGTTTAAGAATGGAAGGATGAAACGCTGTGAGAGGGAAGTCTTGATTCATAGCTTTGGCTAAACTGTCATCTGGGTAGGACTTAATTACCAGGTAAATCAGTCAGCGTTTCCTGACTTGCCCAGTGCTGGATTGTGATTCAGTGAATTTGGCAGTCTTCATATATGCAGTGTCAGTGGTATTACGCTTGACAAAAGATCTGTTGTTAAGAAGTCTGCGTATTCCCCTAACAATGGGGTAACATCAGGGTCAAGGTCGAGAATACGTATTTATTCGTACGGTTCATGGTCGCAAATGAGCGTCTCCGAGACTGTCTCCGCCGCAGATGAGCTGTCATCTTTTCTTCCCCTCGCTGTGTTATGATAAAGGGCAGTTTAATTTGTCGGTTTTCTATTCTCACACACCTCTTACATCATGCAGTATTTCGGTGCATCTTTTGTTTGTTTTTACTGGTCTGACATATAATGTGTGTGTGTGTGTGTTTCCAGCTCAGGACAACCCAGACAGCCCGAGGCACAAATACAACTTCATCGCCGACGTGGTGGAGAGAATTGCTCCGTCTGTGGTTCACATTGAACTTTACCGCAAGTAAGAGCCGTGCACCTGCGTGTCTGTGTGTGTGTGTGTGTGTGTGTGTGTGTTAAGGGGAAGGCCAGACTGAAACACACTCGAATTTACAGCCCACCTGTGTACTTAACCAGACCACAGCAGTAGGTAGAGCCCCTTACCCTCCACTTCACTCTTTCAACGCCTTTTCTTTTCATCCTCTTACTATCTTTTATGCTTCTTATCTCACCTTCTTTGACACCTCGATTCTTCGTCTGTGTCGTCTCCGGTCTGTCTGTCACTGTGGCTTTCTAAAGTGGCTCTTTGAATGTCTGCAGCGTCTCTGATTTCCACCTTTTTTTTGTCTCACTCTGATCTGCCTCTTGTTTTATGTATGCCTAATCTCTCCGGCTCACCTCTGAATACTCCACTGCTTACTGTTTGTATATTGACCTCACAAAGCCGCCACGCGTTAGCGTTACGCTGCTGTTACATCATTGTTTGTTTTTCTAGAAGAATAGACGTGCTGAAGGAGAAGAGAAAGACTAAAAATACAGAAATCCTCTCTTTACTCCCTTCTCTATTTTCCCTCCACAGGATGACCTATTCCAAGCGTGAGGTGGCAGTGGCCAGTGGTTCTGGTTTTGTTGTGTCAGAAGACGGCCAGATTGTGACCAATGCCCACGTGGTGGCCAATAAACACAGAGTGAAAGTGGAGCTGAAGAGCGGCGCCTCCTACGATGCCAAAATCAAAGACGTGGACGAGAAATCCGACATCGCCCTCATCAAGATCGAGGCACCGGTTAGTCAGAGCTCAAAACACAATCAGAAGGCGTTAAGTTAGACAAAAACTTAGAGGTGTCCTGATGCCGTAAAGTTAGATGGTGAAGTTTGAACATGTTTTGCTTGCTTTTATTTCTGTTTCCACCTATTTCAGCCACATCTCCCTTAAAGGAATGGATTGACATGTTGGCTACTGAGCTCAATCATCTTCTTGCCACTAGTGAAATAAGAGAATCAAAACCACTATGAGTCTGCCTGTATGTTAAACATTGAGCCAGGACAGAAGTTGTTTAGCTTGGTTTTAGTGTAAAGACTCACCAGATGTAGGATATGAGTGTATACCTACCATTGATCGCTCATTTCAGGCAGCTTTTTGCTGCTCTTCTACTATCTAGGTGCTACATTTTCTTTGCCATAGGAAACAACAATAACTACCTCTGGGCTAGCAACTTAAATTTCAAGTTTTGCCAAAGTACTTTGATGGTGCAGTCCGGCAGCCCTACTTGATTGACGGTGCTCGTCTCTCTGCATGCAGATGTTCCACCAAAACAGTTCCACGTGTCAGTATTTTAAAGAAACACTAAAGAGGCATCCTTCGCATAGCTTCGCCCAAGACAACTGTGATTTGTTAGGTTGATAAATAGATGCAAGAAGATGAACTTTATTGATACCTTGCTAGGAAAATTCACAAGTTCTGTCTCCCCCTTCCATAACAGAATGATCCTGTGGTGTAGCCAGACCATTATGTGCTATGGAATGGTCTGACATAACAACACTACACCAATGGGTCTCCAGGAAGTCACTGCACCTCGTTTCTGGTTACCCAAAAAATAATATGAGCAGCTTATTCTCCTTGTGCACAACACAGATTGTCAGCAGTGACAGGAGAAGCAGAAGTGTTTTTGGGTTGTTGGTCTGTACATCCCATCCTTATGACCGCGATGTCTCTTGAAACTCAGCACAAACATCATTCAGACTCAAGGATATGCCAATTAGACGGCATAGACATAAAGTGCTTCTGGAGGAATACAATTCTGAGGCAGTAATTCTAGTTACATTTGCATTCATGTGTGGATTAAACAAATGAGACAGCGCCAGGCTCACTGTTTCCCTCTGTTTCCCGTCTTTATGCAGATCTAAGCTAATTGGCTCTTGGCTTTGACTCCTTAGTTAACAAACAGAAACGAGAGCGGTATTGATCTTCTAACATTGTCAAACTCTTGGCTACAAAAGTATTTTCCAAATTTTCACACAGTTCCTTTTAAGAAGATGTACTGTGAGATGTGTTTAATTTAACTAAGCCCAGAGTAGCAGGCTTAGTCAAAGGGAAATTTTATTTAACTTCCCACCAAACTTTTTCTTATTATTGTTTCTGTCTTTGTCGGCTTCCAGCTCTGTTTTTGGGCTCCTGTCCCGTAAAAGTTACGACTCACTCATGTCGAATCATAACCCCACAATGCAGTTCAAGACGAAACATCTACACAACTTAACCTCTATTGAAACACATTCTGAAGTTCAGGTCACCCAGCAACCTTCTAAATTCACTTTATAGACCAAGGACTCCAGGGTAAGAACAAAACACGTGGGTGTATTAGTTTCACAAATGAGTTTTTATGCAAACATTTATGAGTCAGTTGGAATAAAAGAAAATCATCCTAAAGGTTCTCTTGACAAAGCTCTCAGCCAACACATCAACATCAGAACATGAACTCGGTGTTTGGTAATCCTCCAGTTAAACTGTTGTTGTACGATTTGAAGGTTGGGGGGGGATTGAAGTCTGGCATGAAAGTTGTAAATTTAACAGATTACTCAGAGTGCAAGTGCAGTAAAGTGAGAATGCAGGTGCAACCAGATGGGTCTTTAAAGGACAGCTGACTGGCAGTGAGCTGGTGTTCAGACACAACAAGCTGCAAAAACAACTGACAGCTATTACACAAGTCTTTTCCTACAGAGACAATCATTTATTTCTGACAGGTAGAAACCCACTTCAAAGCCAGCGTTCATATTTAAAGGACTTTAATCCACACTGAATATGTTTGCTACATTTTCCATCTAGTTCTCTGGAGAGCCACGTCTTGTCTGTCTGTGTTTATTTGTCTGTCTGCTGGACTGCAGGGATCCACGTCGCATGTTAATCGCAGCCAGTCATGTGAAGGAATGCGTGGCAGAGAGCCAGGGTCTATTGACGGCGAGTCATAGCAGAGCTGAGCTGCATTATGGAGCTCTCTCTCATAGCTGGGTGACACAGCTGAAAAGATGTTCATGACTGTAACACAAGGTGTATTACAAAAGACCCCCCAATTCTGAAGAGGCCTGAGCCATTTGGGTTTTGTTCGGCTGACAGCGTGAGCAAAGAGCGCGGAAAAGAGCAGTGACAGATGCTTTGTGTTTGTTCATCCTTTAATAAAAGCTGTTCCGTCTGTCGATGACAGGCCGGTCTTCGTTCGGGGGGCTTTTCCTGTGTTTGTTTGCGCCACATGCTCAGTGTGTGCAGCCTCAGCCGAACTGGAAACACTTCATGATACAGTAGCGATGAGAAATATCGCATTCTATTGGTCGACAACATCGCCGCAGAAGTCTTTGTTTGTACAAGACACAGAAAATATATTTACCACCAGGAAATTTATATGAATTTGTCTGCATGACATCATTATCTAACCGGTTGGTAAACAACAGGTGACTGTAATAAAGCCGGTTTGTTGTAATCTGATGACGGCCAGATGGATCCAGGGTGTCGGATTGGTAGGAAACACATTCAGCATCATGAGGATACTTGTTTTGAAAGAGAGAGTGCAGGTCATTGTGTGAAGTGTTAGCAGGCCGTCCAGGCCGTGAGTCAGCGCTGAAGCCCCAGAAGACATGTGGTCATTCAGGAAAATAGGATTTAGATAGAACTGGCATTTCTACTAATGTGGAACTAGTGAGAGTGAATACATGGGGAAATGAAAGGATGAGCGAGTTATAATGAGAGCGCAGGAGGCCAAGCAAACTTGTCATTTTGGATTACATTTAAAAGGGTAATTATCGTCATCCGAACCTGTCGCTACAGGATATTTAATTTCACTACCTGAAGAGTAATAACTGTGAATTTGAACTTTAACATATCCTTTCTTCATTTAAGTACAGTTTGCCGAAAGTGTAGATAAAAGAGGGGTGTCGATATACAGTCTGGAGCCCCTCAGGTTACGTATCTTCATCAGTCGTCCTCAAGTCTCCGTATCAGGATCATTAAAATGAGAACGTATTTTCATTCCAAAGCTCTTAGTAGTTGAATTTGACAACCTAACCTTTACTGGCCCAC